CCCATCTCAGTGCAGGGAGCATGTTAGGAGTATGAACTAGCATGCGGCAACATTCCCATTGTTTTCTTTTAGGTTTCTGTACAGATGCTTTCGCAAACATGAACAGCCTTCAGTGGTGCTGGAGAGGAAGGTCTGCCTGGTCCTGGTTCTGTCTGGTCAAAGACTAAAGTGGAAAGCTCTCTGGTGAATCACGGTGCCCGGCATTGCCGGCTCCTGCCTCGAGAGTAGACAGATTTGAAGTCTGATTTTATGGCCTCCATTGCTGTGAAGATAGGAAGATAAGTTTTGAAAGTGCTGGATGGTCATGGTCATGTGGAAAGTTAGTTTTCAGAAAGAGTCATTCAGGCAGATGGGATGTTCTTTTGTCCTTTGAAGAATCTAGACAGGAAATTAGTCCGTATTTGGTGACTGCACAATGTCCAGACAAGACCATTCAAGTTCTCAGAGTCGGACCTTATGTTGCTCCTCACTGGGGTGAGGTGGTAAAAATAGCTTCAGTTCAGGGAGGAAAGTGTCAAATGGCTGAGAACTACAACTGGAGTTCAGAGGAGAGAGAGCGTGGAAGATGACCACGAGGCTGTGCCAGTGAGTGCTTGGGCCAAACCTCGAGAAGGCAGAAGTGTTTTCTGCCAAGCCAGGAAAGTGAATATTCTAAGCAGAAAAAAAAAAAAAAAAAAAAGGAAAGGAAAACTTTGGGGTCTTTGGAACAAGTTTTCATTTGGCTGAGGCACAGGCTACCTGTTGGAGCTGATAGACTAGAAAGGACAGGTCAAGGAGAGAGGAAGGCCTCTGCACCTAGAAAGCTGGGATTTGGGATAACAATGAAGTAGAGACTGCAGCAATGAAAAGCCAGGAACAGAAACTGGCACCAGCATCTGAGAAGCAGTGGGAGAAGGAAGGGACAGAAGGAGCCAGGGAGCAGCTGGGGAGGGGTAGGAGAATGCAATGGGAAGGGAGGGCAGGAGGGCATTGCAAAACCACTGGTTCAGAAATTACTCCTTGGCTAGCTATGGGAAGCAAGAGTGTCAGGCCCTGGAGAAAATGGTGACATTTAAATGTGGGCAATGGAGGGACAGTGGTGGTGTGTCCAGAGAGAAGGGAGTGCTGTGCTGAGGTGGGGAGAGAATAAAGATGGGTGCTTGTGCAGCCAGCTCTGGGCAGGAAACCGCTGCTGTGTTCTCCGGCTGCACTGGGCAGGGAAACCTGGGAAGCTCACCTTCTCTTCCTCACCTGGGCATGCCACAGTCACACGGCAGGCAGCACAGTATGCTCAGTGAGGCAGTCAAGAGAAAGGAGTTAGAGGAGAGAGCCCAACAGAAAATTGGTGGCTAGAGCACCAGGCAAAAACCAGCGTGGTACGCCATGCTTCCCTCCGCAACCCCTGTCCTTGGGAGACAAAGTTTACCAAGAGGAGTCTCAAAGCCATTCCTGGAAATGTCTTTCTTGAGATATCTCAAGCTAACGGATTGTAAGCTTCACTCCAGCCAAAGTCCCTGAGATAGCCCACCTTTTACCCTTCCCACACAGATTCCCAGTCCCTCTTTTTATCTTTTTAACCCAACATTGTTGACTCTCTTATCTTCTCTCTCTCCATTTTGTTGCACTGGCTTGTTGAATGGATTGTTCATGGTTGACCTACAGGAAGCACCTCTATCAACAGCGTTCAACGCTATCATCAACAAAGGGTTAACAGTCTCTTTTCAGTACCTGTTTGTCTGTGCTGTGCTGGCACTCAACCCCCTGGATTTCTACATGCTAGGCAAATGCTTTATTAATCATACTACAACACCCAATATTTATTTATATGTTATATTTACTGTCATTGCAGATTGTTGAGGAACTTGTCTACGTTCTGATATTATGACCCTGAGTCTTTCCAAGCACAAAAACATATAGTTGCAGCATGATATCATTAGTACTTTCTATTTTTTCTTTGTGCTGGCTCAAGTGCCACTCATAAATCTCTTGGTAACTGCCTGGGGTCCTAGGGCTGGAGGCTGGCCACTCCTGGCATGGTAGCTGGAGTCGTAGAACCTAAGGTGGTGACTAATGTCTGGCAACGAAGGCTTTGCTAGGCCTCCTGTGTCCTGGGACCCAGGGTGAGGGCACAGTCAGGCTACCCTGTCACTTTCCGTTGTCCTGTGGGGGAGAGCGGAGTGGAGAACCAGGTGCTCCCCGTGAGCATCGCTGGAAGCAGGAACACTGCCTTCAACCAGCACCAGCACAGCCATGAACTTGCGATCCTTTCAAAGCAAAGCTATTTTACGCTAACTCTAAGATTAAAATAATATTTTTTTTTGATGTGAATATAGATAGCAGTGAGCTATTGGGGAGAGGCTGGTGCGTTTTGTTAATGTGGTGGGGAGTATTGCATTTCAGGAAACATAGCCCTGGAATGCCAAAATATTTATTGCGAGGTCTGACTTCCTTACGCCACTGGTAGCATGGCCACCAAGAGACTTGTTCAGAGGGGAAGCCGGGCTAGGGCATTTGACCCAGCAGGCTTTTCTTGTTAAATTATATTGTTCTGGAAGAACCTTCTTCTGGGATAGTTTGTGAACTCGATCTCCACCTTTCTAGTTTAGCTGTGAACCTGTGATTCACAGTTGTCCCCATTTCCCTGTCCGTGGCAGAAAGCACAGGACACTTCTGGCTCCACGGGTAGGAAGCAAAGGGACTGGACTTTCTTCTGGGAGCGCTGCTTCCAGCTCTGCTCCTGCCTGCGCCCTCAGCAGACAGCAAGCCTCCCCAACTCCCTCTGCCATTCATCCAGCATTGTGCAGCGACCCAGCCGTCTGCCGGGAGGGGCTGCCAAGTGCCCTGCCTACTGGCTGCCACCCCGCCCACAAACACATCCACACACGCTCTGCCGTGCTCACACGCGGAGGGCGACACACGATCATTTGAGCACATTCCTTCCTTCCTTCTTACTGTCTCGGCCCCTGACTTCTACAAGCCCATGGAGCATTTCTGGAAAGACGCTCTTGAACCGGCAGGGTAGGATCGTTTTTTGGATTTCTCCCTCTCTCTCTCTAGCTTGAGCATTTGGAGAAAGCAACTTACCTTTCTGCCCAGTGTCTGTGTCCTAGCCGGAGAGGAGGCTGTGCTATTTTTCTATGGGGGGTGGGGTGGGGGGATCTTTGCAGCTCCTCTCCTCTTTTTTTTTTTTCCCTCTCTGGACTTGTAGGATTCTTTGTGCCATTTATATATAATTTGGCAGGCTCAGATTTTTAAAGAGCCTCATGAAGCACTTGCTTTTGCATGTGTTTTAAAAAGGCATTTGAAAATTGAAAGTGTGATTTGTGGAAACTAAATCATCTGTGAAAAGATTGCTCTAGAAAGCAGTGGTTGCTGGCCATAAAGAGAAATATCTGCGATTCACCTAATGTGATTTTAACCCTTTCCGTGCTGTCCTCTATACTCGTGGATGCTAAACTCAACTTTGTCTTTAGATTTAAGCAAGCATGGCTGTGCTTTAACCAACATGATCTGTTTTTCCAAGAATTAGATAAACAGTGTACTCAATAAAAATATTTTTAAAGTGTTACTATTTGAAACAACAAGCTTGGCATTCGCCTGTGTCAGTACTCTTTGGGGGTAGGATAGCAATTAAAGTCAAATGTTAATGCTTGTTTTAGGGGACATCAGGTTGGAGCAAAGGCAGTTTATTAAAAAAGTAGAAAGGGTCCAAGCTTATATGTTTTGTTACAGTGACAGGTGGATGTCTCTGTGTGTGCAATCAGAATTTGATTCAATACTGAATTAAAAAACTCTTTTTTAAACCTCTTTGTCATTCGAATATCAGATTCCGTGTCTTCCCCAAGTGAATGCAGAGGGTCCGTTTGTAGAATTCAAGAGCGGCAAGGCAGAAGAGCCTTTCAAAAGTTTCTGGTTAGACAGCCGAGGTTACCTGATTGCCAGAGCTTTAGTTAGGGCCCCCAGGTGAAACGTGATGAGAAAACATCTCATTCCATTCTCAGTTTTCTCAAGTTTTTGGTTGCATAACCTGTGGAAGGCAGGGACACCCAAGCGTGCCTAGCCGAAGGTTTTTCTGAATCATATCCGCATGAGAATTTCTAAAGGAAGCAAATTTGGTACTGGGGTCCAACAAAAACAGAAACGCCAGGTTGGGCGAATCTGCCAGGCCATGCTGGAAGGGACCCCTTGCGGAGTGGTTAGTTTCTTTCTTTTTTTTCTTTTCTTTTTTCTTTCTTTCTTTTTTTTTTTTTTTTCTTCAGATGAGGAAGCTGAAGGCCGGCAGTTTTCTCTTGACTCCAAGGGCAGACCTCCCTATACATGCTCCGTCTCTGCTCTCCTGGCCCTAGATGCCTCCTATCTGTGTCCGCTGATGCTAAATATAGCTGTCTGTGGCTGGCCGCATACACAACCGCACACCCCATCCTATTTGCCATATCTCAGTTACAGATACAGTTACGGGTCCTCCCAGGGTCATTCTATGCACGCGCCACGTACTTCCAGCCAACAAGAAGACTGACTCAAACAGAAAGAGAGACAAACAGAGACAGATTGGAGCCTGGCACGGGCGCACAGGCAACACATCAGGGAAAAAAAAAAGGCCTGTGGCTTAGTCTGCATTTGTTGAAAACCTAGATTTCTTGGGGGTGGGGGTGGGGGGCGCGGCTGCTGGAGATCCTCCTGCTGCCCCTCACCCCCTGCAGCCCAATCCAGCAGACCAGGAAAGTTAAGTTCAGGGAGGCAAGCGGTTCTTTGGGTGCGCGCAGCGTGATGTTTCCAGCAGTGCCTGGCAGCTGCAGCCCCCCCGGTCAGCGGCTTCCAGCAGGTTGGCGGCGTCTAAGAGCAGGGGAGACCAGTGTGTGAAGTTGGAGAGCCCGGGAGTAGCTGGGTGCGTTCGCTGGAGTTGGGCCACCTGGGCGCTGGAGGATCGCTCTGCCCCTGGAGAGGGGCAGGGCCAGGGCCAGTACTCGCGCCGAGGGGACGCGCCGCGCCGCCTCTCACCGAGGGCTCTGCTCTCTTTCCAGGTGGCCCGTCTGCTGCTGAGCTCTCTGCGTTCGCGGGGAAGCAGCCCGCACCCCGCCGGTCGCCGCCGACCATGACCATGACCCTCCACACCAAAGCCTCGGGCATGGCCTTGCTGCACCAGATCCAAGGAAACGAGCTGGAGCCGCTCAACCGCCCACAGCTCAAGATGCCCATGGAAAGGGCGCTGGGCGAGGTATACGTGGACAGCAGCAAGCCCGCGGTGTTCAACTACCCCGAGGGCGCCGCCTACGAGTTCAACGCCGCCGCCGCCGCGGCGCCGGTCTACGGCCAGCCGAGCATCGCCTACGGCCCCGGGTCCGAGGCGGCCGCCTTCGGCGCCAGCAGCCTGGGGGCCTTCCCCCAGCTCAACAGCGTGTCGCCCAGCCCGCTGATGCTGCTGCACCCGCCGCCGCAGCTGTCGCCCTTCCTGCACCCGCAGGGCCAGCAGGTGCCCTACTACCTGGAGAACGAGCCGAGCGCCTACGCCGTGCGCGACGCCGGCCCTCCCGCCTTCTACAGGTACACGCGCCCGTCGGGGTGGCCGCCGCGCCAGGCCTGCCCGGGGAGGGAGCGCGCGAGGGGCCAGGTCGCGGCCGCGGCTCGCCCCCTCCCACCCCTGGGAAGTCAGGAGGGATTCTCTGCGCGCCGCGCCGCCTCTCCATCGCAGGTGATAAACAACAGCAGCGACAGCCAGGGTGCTCTCTACCCGCAGCTGTCCGTGGGAGGGGCAGGCCCAAAGGGCCCCTTGTTTCCCAACTCCAACAAGCCCTGGAAACCGGTCCAAAGAAGTTACAGATGGGGAGAACCTCCAAAGCGACTGAACCCCAAGGTGGCCCAGGTGGTTTGTGCCACTAGCAAGGAATTCCCCCTTTAGAATTTAAAGCTGGAGGTGTTCAGGCCCAGTGGAGCTCAGGGGAGATTTGTTAGTCACTGTTTTTTTTTTTTTTGTTTTTTTTTTTTTAAACAAACAAACAAACAATGTTTCAGTGTGTCCGGCTCCATGTTCTTTCACCTAGACTTTTGGACTGGAAACACACGAGGCATTCTGGAGACGGTGAGATTTTAGGGAGTGGTGCCTGTGGGTTTCTTTCCCTCCTTCCCATTCCAGGTTTCTAGATTGCGGCCAGGTTGCTCCGAAGAGCTCGTACGGGAGGTGAATGGGTCTGAACAAGTTTTGATTTCCGGCTGAGCTGGAGTTCGAGCAGATCGCTGGCATATGACTTCTGACAGCTGGGAATTTATAGGTGTCCCTTGCGTTTAGAACACACCGCATCCAAACAGGAGGACAGTAATCCCCCTGCAGCAAAGTTTCATGCCCGGCCCAGCAGGCAGAGAATGCTCTGGAAAGGCACCCGGGTTAGCTATGTCCTGTCCCGTGGGCACTGTGCAAGAAGCCAGGGCAGTCCAGGACACAGGGGAGTCCAGGACACAGGGGAGTCCAGGACGCAGGGGAGTCCAGGACACAGGGGATCCAGGACACAGGGCCTCTTCATGACCAAAGTGGCAATTGTTTTGTGTCTTCAGTTTTAGTTTCTCCGAAGAGAGACGTCTTTTGAGATGTCCCTTTTCTCCCATTTCCCCTTGTTTCCCCCAGGGCCTGCAGAAGGCTGAGGCGGGTGGTCGGCGTCACCCAGGGGACGGTAGTACACATGCCAGGGACAGTCTTGGGTGCCCGCAGGCCGCGGGATCAGAGCTAACGCGCTGGAGCTAGTGGCTCTGGCTATTGGTTCCTGCCGCTGTTCAGACCTTTTGCATTACACGCTCTCGCTCTCGTCTCTCTCTCTCCCCCCTTCTCTCTCTCTCTCTCTCTCTCTCCCTCTCTCTCTCGTGTGTGTATAGGCTCAGTGTATCATTTCCAGATGTATTTCTAGCAGAGGAAACGGCACCAAGGTGTAGACTTGGCCCAGAGGATTCTGAAGGGTGAGCTCCGGGTGGATCCCAGCTCACCTTTAGCCTGCTCAAGTGTCAGATAGAGGAGTGCGGCCAGGCCCGGTTTCCACATTCAGGATAAGCAGTGAACAGAACTTTTAAAAAATTATTGGGTTCAAATCAATCTCACTTGCTTTAATTTAGGGTTAAGATGGACAAGGAGAATAATTTATTCTCTCGGCTTTTTTTTTTTCCAAGCTGGAGGTGCACAATATGGCGATTAAATCTAATTCATCTTTGAAATTCTTTGCTGTTAAGGACAGTATTAGTAGATTGTGAATTCTGTAACCTTATGATGGACTTCTGAAAGTATTTTCTTTTCAATTTAATTTTCAGTTCTTTTATTGCAAATTAACGGCACTGAATTTCAATGGCGACTAATGAGGCTGCTCCTTGGTGGTTATTTACAGCCTTGCTAATAATTACAAAGTGAGCCTGGCAAAATAAAGAGAGCTCCCATTTTATTCAACACTGTTCATCTTCTCTGTGGCAAGGAATCTCACCATACCCCATCTTAAACTTTTACTCCAAATGACACTAAGAGACTTACAAAAATACAAAATGACAAGGGACTCTTAAAATAAAAATAAAAATAAAAAATATTGCACAGGTGGAATTCTGGGTGGAAATTTAGTTTTAGAGTGATTTTATTTTTTGGCTTATTTTCTATAACGCCTTTGCTGTTTTGCTTAAATTCTGCCTCTTGTTGCTTAGGGAGAAAGAGAAGTGTCTATGCAAGTTTCAAATGAATATGATAGTTCCCCCCCTTTTTTCTTTTTCTTTTTTTTTCTTTGAATAACTCTGGATTAAAAAAACAAAAATAAACAATTGAACAGGCTCTTTTAAAAAAAACTTTACTTTTTCTAAGTACTCCTCAAAAATTTGGGGTCTGAAAGTTGTGTTTTAAAAATTTGCTTCTTATGCTACAGTAGATGATGAAGTCACTTGGCCAGGTCTAAGTTTTAAAAATGGAACAAACATAAAAGAATTTGTCTTATAGCACAGTCAGGGGCGGGTTTCAACTTTCTGAGTATGTGAATGCTAGACTGGCGAATACTATTGGGTCAGAGTCAAAGAAGTTTGGAAGACACCTAAATATATAGTTTGGAAGACCTAAAATATAGGTAGGAGAAAACAAACGACTTATGCAGGTGGCTGAGGTTTTATTTGTACAAACCCCAAAGCTAATTTGTCCATCTTTATCTTATTTTTTGACTTGGTGTCTGTGGCCCAGTCAGACTAAACTTTATTCTTTCTGATGGCCGAATGGGGCTGTTTTGTGACTTTTTTCCCCTTGCACGTCCCAGTGGGCCACAGGGATGTTCAGGGAGAGGGTCGAATTATTCAGCACCTATATGCTGTGGCTGCTTTTCCCACTGGCAAGAATACATAGCCATATTTAGATATGAAGAGAAGTAGCAGGTAAGATTGCTTGTGGCATGTACTAAAATGAGAAACACTGTCACTTGCCGAAGCAGCTTGTTACAGAGACGTGACACCTTTGTAATGAACAAGCTTGTGGTTGTGTAGGTTGCGCCTTACTGAAAATTTCATGGAAGCCGTTTTACCCAGAATTCTTCAGACAACTCTGAGGGTTTCAAAGAGAGTTAAAGATGAAACACTCATCTTCACCATGTTTAAAAAAAATTCAACATAGGTATTTAATGCTGCCTGAACATTTTAATTTTAGTTTAATTAGCATTTCTAAGGGCAGCACATTGCCTACTTCTCAAACAAAACAAAACAAAGACTTAACGAACAAGTGTCCAAAGCTTCCACACCAGCTAATACCCTGATAATCTGGATCCTGATGCCTGTATAGTTTGGAGAACTAGAATGTTTGTGGTGGCCACTGGAGACTGCCTCTCGGCTCTGAGGAAACAGGGAGAGAGCTAAGGAACGGATGTTCAGGTCAATGAGCTGGCCACTCTCTTACACATTTTAATCACTTAAATTGCTGACTATGTGTCAAATTGCTCTAAGAACAGTGCAAAGAGCCACACATTGCTGGGGAAGGAGGGCGTGCTTGCATGTAAATGGGACCGCATCTCTGAGCCCCTTTTTCTTTTTAAGCAGGCCGTTTGGCTTGTGTCCACCGTGAGGAGAGCTCTAAGGGGTTACAGCTGCGTACTCCAGGCGTCTGTCTCATGTTAACCTGGACCCCAGTCCACAGTTGTTTGCTACTTACTTTTTATGAATATATGTGTATATATATATGTGCTGTGAAGTTCGTCATTTGAGAAAATTTGGGTTCAGTATTTTGGTTTCATATACTTTAAAACACAGAAGGCAGGGGCAGCAGACAGCAGGCAGGACGGCAAGCAATGAATGTCAGCTTTCCCAGGATGGCCAGAACAGAGGGCTTCTCTACACGGAACGGTGCAGGTGAAGGCGGTGAGTGAGCTGGCAAGTGTTACACACTTTTTAAATTCCTTTTCCCACATTTGAGTATCTGTCTGTATGGCCGTGAAGCAAGAGGAAGAGACAGATCGAGGGGCCAGGAAATGTGTTACAGATAGAGAACGCTGGCAACATGCAATCTTTTCTCCTGCAGGCTAAGTGTAGGTAAAATATTTATTACTTCTTGACGATTGTTTGCAGTCCGGTTATTGCAAAGAACATGCGTGTTCTAGGTACCGTCTTAGGACATCCAGAGTCCAAGTGGTCATGTGAAAAGTTTACAGGGGGAAGTTCACAGTTCAAGTCATGTTTTTAGCAACTCCATACAATACACAAGATGAACCCTCCTCTGCCTTCCCGGTGGCGTCAGCACCATTGATGGTGTAATTTTAGGAGGTCCAGGTTGAAAGGACAGTGTTTGGAGTGCCGCTGCGCCCCACTCCAGGAGACTGTGAATGGGGAGAAAAAAACCTCATTTTAGCGTTGAGTTTTAGTTCTCTTATTCAGCAAAGGGAAATACCGAAATGCATACCCCCAGAGAGAGTCTACATACATCCAAAAAGTGCAGCTGTCTGCGCGCACGCCCAACAGAGTGAAAGCATCTGGAGTCTCACCAAGGGGAGGCGGCGGCGCATCAAAGTTACCAAGGAGGTTTATTTTACGGGCTCGGCTCTTGCAGTGAACTGATGGGTAATTTTGCTTTTTGAAGAGTTTCCTCTTCATCCTGCCATATTACTCCTGAGTGTTCAAGTGGTCCAGAGTGAGGGAGTCACCTTTATGATATACTTGGTCTCAGGACGGGGGGGGGGGGGGGAAGAATACTTGCTGTGTTCTGTGCCTGAAAAATATCACTAGGAATTCCAAAAATACATTTGCCTTAATCAGTAGTGTTTACAATGATATATACTTAGCTGTATCTCATTAAAATGTGATGATTAGAAAGAGGCTTGTTCGGTCCCCAACTAACAGAATTTTATGTAGTTTAATGAAGTAATTTCAAGTAAATTGGTTTAAACACTAAGGTCGTGGTGGCCATTAATAAGCGATAGGGTGGTGTGGTGGTGATGATAATGATGGTGATGGATGAAGACGATGATGATAACGATGGTGACAGTAACAGAGTGCAGGGCTCTGTCTGGGTACCGACTGTTTTCTGGATACTGTGCAGCACGGGGATGTTTCTCCTATGT